GAGTTTACCGAATAAAATGGATGAGCTACGTGAACTCAGCAACGCTAATAATGCTCATCTGATAGGCATATCTGAAACTTGGATATCTTCTCAGTTTACGGACCAGAAGCTAGCAATACCTGGGGTGTCTTTGTTTGGCAATGACAGAAAATCAGGAATTATACTTACGATTCTGCTTGGAGGAACGTCAAGTGCACAACCAAGAGTTTATCAATCTTGACGAATCTGCATGGTGCTCAGTATGATTGTCTACCACCTCGAGGTGTCTAGTTGGAGTCATCGACAGGAAGCCCACTGCTGACATTGAGTACGACAATCGTCTGCTGGAAGGATTATTCTGCTCTACTCGTCTCGGATTCACCCATGTCTTGATTTTAGGGACTTCCATCTAACTAAAGTCAATTTCGCGAAACATACGTACATTGGAGATGAAAACTGTACTGAAGCTGGATTCTACAACCTCATTTAGGATCTGGGATTATTGGAGAATGTGAAGTGGGCAACTCGTTGGAGAAACAGTCAGAACTGTCGCGCTGAGACTGGGCATTTACAAACGAAGAATTTCCAGTTGACAACCTCTCTGTTGTAACGGGTGGTTTGCAGGTTAGATGCGCAGCGTTTTATTGATCGGTTCGGCGGCACGCAAGCACGTACGAACGACCTAGAGTCCTGATTGGTCCCGCCTCCCTGCCTAGCCCAGCCAGTTGAATCCAGAACACAAGTCACAACCTCTGAGATATGAATCGTTATATTTCAAACACACTCTGCTTATATACCAATCAAGCATACCACATCGTACCATGAAATAGGAAAGAACATTTTGTACAATATTTAACAAGTGAACAAATATCGATTAATAGGAAATGTCCATTTAAAGTCCAAGGACACCGTTGGACTTAACATGATAATTATTGGTATATTCCTCTGCATCCCTAACACTCTCAATCCTGGCTCGCCTGGGGTAAAGCGATCATGCCGTCATAGCCTTCAGTTTTATCAGCAAAACTGAGCTAAGACATCCCAACAACAACAACAACAACAACAGGCTCTGGAATTTCAAACGGTTGAATGTGTCAGCTTTACAAGAAAATCTACAACAGGTTGGTTGGGAAATTTATCCTCAATTTGATGTGGATGTCTAGTGAGCTTTCTTACTGCACACGATCTCATGTGCTATAATACTGTATGTTCCTCAAATGGTCCCCAAATTCTACAAGCAACCTACAGTTATCAAGAACCCCACTGTTCGTTTGCTAGGCCGATAAAGGCACTGCTGGGTGGAATACAAACGAACTGGTAACAACGGCGCATACATGCAATGCAAACATATAAGAAACATATGCACAAATGCTATGAGAGAAAACAGGCTTCAGTACCAGATAAAGCTCATCGATGAATTTGTCTCCAATCCGAAAAGCTTATTCCGTTATGCAGCTTCTTTTCTACAAGCCAAAACTGGAGTTCCCCAATTACTAAGTCCTAATGGTCCGACCAACAACGACGGTAACGCCGCTAACCTTCTGGCTGAACAATACTCTCGGACAGTTCAACCGACTCACATTAACTAAGTTGATGAAAGCTCCATCTGCAACTGCACTGGAGTCTCCGAAGTGAACCTGAGCGCTGACTTGGTGTACCGGAAACAGCGGCTTCCGAGAAAAGACATTTATCCTGGTTCGGATATGGTTCATTCTGCTATACCGAGGGAAGAAGCTTCAATTCTGACAACGCCGCTTAGCATGGCGTTCTTACACTCTCTAAGCCAAGGTACACTATGAGAAATTTTGAAGCAGGCACATACCACACCACGTTTCAGAGGAGATCGATGCAGTGAACCTTCAAGCTACCAACCTGTGGCACTTCTCTTTATACCCTCACAAATTATGGAGACCCCGTCATGAGACGGTATACACGACTATTTATTATCCTCAAACTTTTTTCACCTCAACAGCACGGTTTCAGAAGGGATCATTCTTGTATAGTCAAGTTGCTGACTGCAGTGGACGGATGGACAACCATTCTTGATCACAAAGGGAAGGTTGAGGTCGTTTACCTTGACTTCTCAAAATATTTCGATAGGGTCAACCATATATATCTTATCAATAAGCCCAAACGATTAGGTATCAAATCACCTTTAATTTACTGGCTCATTTGAAATCTAAGAAATCGACATTTTAAAGTCAGGGTTAACTTCACTTTCTCTCAGGCTATGGGATTTCTTAGTGGGGTCACCCAGTGTTTCTGTCTTCTTGAATTCTTACTGTGCCGTGTGGTCGGATAGCGCACAAGTGTCTTCAATAACACATGAGTAATATCATCTTAGACAGGATCAAATGATCAGCGAGATATACATCCGAAGGAATCAAGGAGAACAGGTTACAACAGTGTATAAGTGGAGAGGTTTTCACACAGAAAACTTTCGAAAAGTATTTTCAAGACCTGTTCGATCTCTGCACTTTGTACTCCACTGGTCGTGAAGAAGAAAATGCCTCACACACAAGGAATCACACATCCAAACTACTAATACACTGGAATAAAAGCTGTGTAACAAGCATAAGCATTAGAAAAATTGACGTGTGATGAGAAAAATGCTGTTAATAGCTGATAAATAATGACATCGAATACCCTCTACAATATGTAACGTGTGCGCGAAAATCAGTGGCTTGACGTCCTGACCCTCCTGATGAAAAGCTGAACCCAGGTCAAATCTACCTCCATCACCTTGAGTGGCACTAATCAAGGCGGGCATTTCGTATTCAGAGTACTCATGGTTTGTTGAATGTGTGTTGGCCTACAAGAGTTGGTAGTTTCTGAATAATTGGGTTATTTTATTCATTTTTTCAAACACAGAAAAATTGGTACAAGGGGGCACCAAATATAGATGCTCCGCAGAAATCAAATGCTTTTTGTGAGGGTTGGGATTTTGCCCAGATGTCCAAACGGAAGCATAATTAGGTAGTCTAGTTGCGTCTGAAAGCCTAAAAATGTCAAATAAGCAATTTTGAGCATGTCATCTTTCTTCTCAAGTGCAAACATTGCGTTTGGTTCTTGAGCAATTGTCCATTGAGAAGCTGCCGTTATACGCATTAAGTTGAAGATCGTATTAAATTCCGAAAATCACTTAATATCAGTAAATACATTGGCATGAAGTTCTAGGGACTGCTTACTTGTGTGAGCAAGAAAATGTCCAATGCTTGTGGTCAAGCTTACAGTTTCCTGAGCTTTTGGTCGATATATGTGAATGGTTTAGACGGCAGATGGTAACAAACCCTACTCGTTTCGCATGACCTTCAGAAAGCGCTTAACAAATTTCGACATGCAAGATGAGTACAGTTTGGTTGTATTGTAGAAAACGTACACTCACAACAGGCAAGTAAAGAGATAGGAGATTATTGTGAACAAATCTTCAACAGTTATAAAGCCAGTTTCTTTAATGATGAACAAGGTCAGGCTTCCAATCCGAATCACTAATAAATTGTATATTGCTTCGTACTCCCGGTACTACCTAGGATATTCCTTGTCTAAATATTCTATAACCGCTTGCAAATAGCTCTATTTAAAGAGGACAGTGGTATATTTCCTCTTCGAGTAAATTTTACTGTTTTGATCGTTTATTATGTATAAAGACTACTGTTTACACTTGAATTGAATTTATTTCAGTTAAAGTATTCTTTAAGATTATCGTTCTTTCTAAAGTAACATGTTGTCGGTACTTTTGAGTACTTTGTTTCTATTGTATTTGCTAAAACTTTTGGTTCTAACCATTTGCAGTGTTCACTATTTTTGGTCATCAATTTCTTTTGTTTCTGGGTATTATTGTATCTAGTTTGTTTTTGAAAACCCTTGTTAGGTGGTTGGACAGTGCAAGAAAAGCAGTTGCCAACGTCCAGGTTCTCGATACTCCGTTGGGAGCGGCATACAGTGCGATGAATGCCAATGATGGTACCAAGACGTTTGCATGAGTCTAATGCCTGCGGCCTTCAAACGTTTTAGTATATATGGTTGCGCATGAGCATGACATTGGGTTGATAAAACAGCTGCTAAATCAACTAATGCCTCAGGAAATCTCCGTAATCACCTTGCTAAAGGTGTATAGACTAGGTAACAGATTCAAACCAGGCCTCTCAAAGTAGTATTCAAATCTCCCATTGAACGGTACTTAATACTACAGGATGGACATAAACTAAAGGGGTCAGGAGTTTTTGTCCGTAAGGACTTTCCCCGCACAGACCGTGTCAAAAGGCGAGGAGCCGGAAAAGAACTAAAACTTGGGTTAGACACTGACGAAAGGGACCTCAAAATTGTAAGTTTTCGGGCTAAGGTCTCGAAAAAGAATGATGACGAAGCCACCTTTAGTGCAGCATAAAGCCATTTAAATAGGCTTTGGATGTTACACGCATAAATCAAAAGTCCTAGTGGCGATTGACCTGATCAGTGCAATGCATAGGAATCATAATCTATCAATGCAGTTGGTGTAGTAAAGTGAGAACTACGTTGGAAATCAGTTTCTGTGCAATTGGTTTAGCTCACGGTAAATGGTCTTCTGCTTTAAATTAATGGTTCTGCCGGTCTCTATAGTATTAGACAGAAAGCTTTAGTCCTTTGAAATTACTGGTTGATGTACATACGTTCCGGGTGTACGTTGTGATTGACTGATTTATTAATTTTACTTTATTGTAGGACAGTTATAATAGAAATGGATCTTTCAGTTCAGAATAAAGTGATCAAGCATTTAGAAGAAATAGAAGAAGCTGGTGAAATGGTATTAGCTAAGCAACAAGAATGCATAGTTTACGACAGGAATCGGCAAAAATCACGTGAAGCTGTGCGAAAGCTAATGCAATTGGATTCAGAAAATAAACAATGGGCGTGCTTATCTGACCAGTTCTTTCTGTTTCCATCTGTTGGATTAAGAAAAGCTATTGAGGAGGATATTAAAGTTTATGATTCTGAAATCCAGAAATTAAATCACCAATTAAAGGAAGATATTAATTGGTTACATGAACTTGAAGGTAAAGAACCCCTCAAAGGATTTGACTTGTTGCCACTAAAAAATTTAAAAAAACATGATACTTAACATGTGTACAAATCAAAATAAAAGTGTATATCTTTCTGCTTCATTTTTCTTCATTTTTTTTGCTTTGAGTGGTAAACTAGCCTCTGTTAACTTATTGTTCACTCAATTTCAGATGACTAATCTACTAACTTCTGGTCATAGACGTTATAACCCACTATTAGATGAATGGATTATTGTTTCTCCACATCGAATTCAACGTCCTTGGGGAGGACAAATGGAATCTGATAATCATAAACCCACAGAAGTAACTGACGTTTCTGTAAAATGTACCAAAAATCCATTATTACCCGGGTCCGTTCGTGCAAGTGGCTTAATCACACCTAATTATCAATCTGTCTACACATTTCACAATGACTTTCCTGCTTTGGTAAGTGTTTCATCTCTATCGGACATTGACAGGATTATTTATTCTAAAGTTTAGAAATTCTGAGGGTAGATGATTAATTAGTCACCAGGTATAGTTTTTCTCATACTAAAAAACCCTTGGATGCTGATCCTACAAACAATTAAGTGTTTGTATAAGGTAGACTAATAGTGCTTCCTACCATAAAGAAACACTGATTAGTCTTAAGAATGGTAGGTAACCAAGTTAACGTCAATAAATGGGCACATCAAATCTACGTGGAAATGGCACTATAATGCATCGGTTCTAATTGCCTAACTACTAGACCGAACAGCCAAACTGACACAACGTCGATGATAATAACAATTTTAACATAAAGAAGCTGTTACTAAAGTAAGTAAAATGAGACATATTGGAAGTGTTATGAATAACACTCCAACTTTGAACTAATGTCTTAATAAGAAAGTGGTGACCAAACAGGATTGAATGTAGTTTATATTTTGGCTGAGATTTCATCTGTCTTGGTTGTCATGCGTGCATCCTGTACGTATCTCCCCGATATAGTCATTATGACGTAAGTTTATATAAAATTAATGAAATGTGGTTAGCAGTGGAATCCAGTACTTGCATTTTGTCCTGATTTGGACTCATCAGCTGAATGCACTTACATCCTAATACTGACACCCACTCCGGGACTCAAACCCAGTGCTTACTACATTCCGTCTTTTTATATAAAATTGTGTCATAATGCTATGTAGTGACAGTTTGCACAGGATACGCATATGCCGATTTAGACTGATCGAATTTCAGTGAAAACATCAATAGCAGGATAATTCAAACCATTGTAGATTAAATTAAGAAGGATGAAACGTACTTTTTGTGTTCTATTTCTGTGCGGTATTCGAACATGATCAAAAGGAAAGATTATACCATTTATACAGTACATTTGGCATCCCCACGAGGGTTAAATACTTTAGGTTATTATCAGTTTAATTTCATCACCTTAATTTTAAACCTGGCTACATGGATTTTAAAAAGCTTGTTTGGAATTTAGTGATCCAATAAACTACATTTCAATTCCGAATATTTTCAAGCAGATACACGTGGCTCATGTCCAGTCTTTTCGAAGAACTAATTATAAAACTAGGTCCATTCTTGGAGTTTCCAGAATGCACTATTTTATTGCTTTCATATTGGAGGATCCACCTAAGGGAGTTGGAAACCCCTGATTCCAAACCAATGGTGCACATGGGCTCCAGTATTCCGAGGTAGCAAATGGTGTATGAACCAATCATTGGTCACCGGCTACCATGAGACTGCATCTCCTGACGTTGCTCCACTGCCTTGTGGATTAGACCCTTAGGTCGAAGGCTCCATGTGTGGCCCCCTAAGAAAACCACTTGCTTCGGTTTGGGCACACGGGTAGTATCACAGCCCTCACACATATCAAATGAGATCTGTGTGGCGTATGTGTATTTGGCGCCTCCTTGTACCAATATTTATGTTTAAATAAATAAATAAATAAATAAGTAAATGAATAAATGTTATTGACCTAACTGAATAATTATCCACTAAAGTCTCAATGACACTGATGTTTTTAAGCGAAGTGATTACATGATTGATGACGTGTAATGATACGATGTGTCTGTGATGGCTGCTTGCGAAAATGTATTATAACGCATGCCTCAAAATAATCTGAGATCAAAAATAGGACCACAACCCAAGAGAAAAGTTTTTTATGCAATTAAATGACATGCTTCTTTGCATGATATTACACACAAGAAACATAATAGGTTACCATATGCGACTGAAGGAAATCAGTTTATAGGTCAGTCATTCTATAATCTGTAAGATCTCGTTGTTAGACTTAATAATTACACGTCATCAGACAATTACTCGACTGATAAGTGATGCCATACTACTTCTATGTACTGCGACATTGGCACATTGATCTATGCAGTTGATTAGCAGTCATTGAATCACAGGTTTAAACATCTCTTCACTCACTTAATAACTGGTTAGTGCTTCAAAGCTTTAAACAATCAACGTAGCTTCAAGCCCACTACATACCTTTGCTGTTGGTTACTCATTTGCATTAAATTCAATTAGTTCTTTAACCAATCTTACTACTGTTATTCTCTGTTGATTGTGAATTAATATTGTTTAGGTTAATGTAAATTGCGAATGTGAAAGTGTTAGTTTAACGAGCTTCAGATCTGTTGAAGAAAATCCATTATTTGCATGTGCGCCTGCACAAGGTGACTGTTTAGTTACTTGTTTTCATCCAGATTCTAATAAAACCTTAGCGCTGATGGAACAGCGTGAAATACTATCAGTTATTACTGAGTGGTGCCGTATTACTGAAAAATATTTCAAAATGAAAAAATTTCAATGGCTGCAAATTTTTGAGAATCGAGGCGCAGCTGTTGGTTCGTCTAACACGCATCCGCATTGCCAGGTAAATTATGACACCGAAATGCTTTCTCACTTAAACATTATCTTGCTCTGCTATGTTTACCTTTCGCCTTTGAAATTTAATTAAAGCTAATTAAATCATTCTTAATACAGCCAGTCTCATCTGTAGCCCACCCCAAATATCACAGACTCACTTTGTCTAACCAGACTGATTTACCAAATTGCACTTTCCGTCCATCTTTTTAACCTCCCTACTTTGTGAGTAGTCTTCATTTAATACCGATGCTAATTACCGTTCCTGATATTCGTGATTTTTGTCATAATGTAATGGCAAGACTATAACCTAGAAACGTTTTTGTCTAGAAACTAAATACTTAGTTTTTCTCTCCTGTTCTATTCAATAATTAGGCTTTACTGTCAACCAGAAACATACTCATCTACACAAAAAGTACTACATTTCTTTATTTGTTTTGATTATTTATAAGAACGAATAATTTCTGTTGTTTGTCCTTATTGTACACTTGTAATCAACATTCTTGTAGTTCATCTTTGTTAACAGTTCTGTGGCATAGGTATTTATATAAACAACATAATATGTGTTTCTTATTATATTAATAACAATGACTGTAACAGACCTGTGTAATTTGCAACACTGGATCTCAGCAGCATCTATCGCACTGATAGATGCTCGGAAACTCATTCCACCTGAGTCTGAACATAATGAAGAGCGGAGTCAGCTTAAGCACAAGCCGAAAACAAGCCTACGCAATGATCACGAACAGTGGTGGGTAGCGAAATCAAGAGAGATGGAAAAGGCAGCGGCAATAGGTAATAGCAGACAATTGTTCAGACTCGTTAAGGAAACCGGAATCAGGAACCTGACCGTTAGCGAAACAATCTCAGAGAAAGATGGACATATTATACATTCTCAATCCAGGAGATTGGATCGATGGGCAGAACACTTTAGGGATCAGTTCAACTGGCCTTCAGCCACACTTCGGTTTCCCACGATCTCTAGTCAACCTGAATGGCAAGTTAATGTAGGTCCTCCGTCCCTTTACGAAGTTGAAAAAGCCATAAGAAATCTGAAACGAGGGAGAGTAGCAGGCCCTGACAGGTTTACTCCTGGGATTTTTAAGGATGGTGGTCCAGTATTAGCAATGAGATTAACCGAGGTCTTAGGTAGAATTTGGGAACTGGACGTAATTCCATCTGACTGGTCTCAATCACTGATTGTGCCAGTTTTTAAGAAAGGACAAAAGTCCTCTTGTGACAATCACAGAGGAATCAGTTTGACTAACATAGTGTCTAATATACTAGCCTCAATAATACTTCGACGCCTAACTAAAGCTCGTGAAGAGCAGATTAGAGAAAACCAGGCTGGTTTTCGACCTGGACGTGGTTGTATAGATCAGATATACACACTACGCCAGGTTCTAGAACACAGACACACATTCAGACGCCCCACAATGGTAGTATTTCTCGACCTTAAGGCGGCATTCGACTCTGTTGATCGTGAGGTTCTATGGCAGTGTTTGTCACTGAAAGGAGTACCAAAGAAGTACATTAACCTTATACAGGCTCTCTACTCGAACACAACTGGTAGGGTGAGCTTATGGCGAACTGTCATCAGAATTGTTTACCTCAAGTGGTGTTCGTCAGGGCTGTTCACTCTCTCCATTCTTGTTCAACTTTGTCGTCGATGTACTTTTAGAGATAACACTTTTCTCGTCTAGATTTCCAGGGGTTGAACTCCTACCGGGAGGTTCACTTGTTGACTTAGAATATCCTGATGACATAGTTTTATTTAGTGAAGACGCTGACAAAATGCCGAGTCTTCTGACCACTCTGAGCAACAATGCAAGCATGTTCGGGATGCGATTCTCCCCCTCGAAATGCAAAATGTTGCTTCAGGATTGGGTTGCATTGACACCCGAACTATGGAGTGAAGTAGTTGAGTGTGTCGACCGCTTCACTTATCTTGGAAGTCTCATCAGCCCTTGTGGTCTGGTGTGTGACGAAATCTTAGCACGGATACAGAAGGCTCGACTAGCTTTTGCCAACTTGCGTTATTTATGGCGTAGGCGAGATATCCGTCTATCAACCAAAGGACGGGTTTACTGCGCAGTAGTTCGTTCCGTCCTACTTTATGGCAGTGAGACATGGCCGGTAAGAGTAGAGGATATTCATAGGCTACTAGTATTCGATCATAGGTGTCTTCGAAACATTGCTCGTATATCCTGGGACCATCGAGTAAGTAACTCAGTTGTCAGGAAACGGGTTCTAGGTAAGGATGGCAAATCCATTGATGAAGTGATGAAACTTCATCAGTTGAGATGGCTGGGACACGTGTTACGTATGCCCAACGACCGGCTACCTCGACGTGCTATGTTCAGTGGTATAGGAGTAGGTTGGAGGAAAGCTAGAGGCGGCCAGACCAAAACATGGCACAAGTTCATGAAGTCACTGACAAGTGGACTGAGCCATGCTGGTAGGTGCAGATTACCTGGTTTTGGACTGCGAGATGATAGCAACCGATGATTAGAGACCCTGAATGATATGGCTCAAAATCGTTTGCAATGGCACAGGTGCATCCTCTGTTTGTGTTCTCCCAAATTCTAATCTTCTGAATTCTTCATGTCCCTTTCTTTTTTCTCTTTCCAAATTTATTTCACTGGATTATAGTCCTTGAATAGCATCTTCAAACCCTAATTTTTCTGATTACAGCTTATAATCTTACTACACCTAGCACTACGGGATTTGAATCGACCACTGCATCTCTGTGCTAATGTGGTGTGGCAACTCGAACTGATGTACGTACGTACGAAGTTCTACGTTGTTACTGACTGACTGACTGACCCCGTTGAAGACTTTTCCCGACATTGAGAGAAGAGTGATGCCGCTGTAGTTATCACAGTTGCTGAGATCGCCTTTCTTTGGTATTTTGACCAGAAGTCCTTCTTTCCAGTCTGTTGGTACTTGTTCCTCATCCCAAATCTTATTGAAGAGAATGTGGAGTATCCTTGCAATTACCGCTACGTATGTTTTTAGTGCCTCTGCTGGAATGTTGTCTGGTCCTGCTGCTTTGCCATTCTTGATTTGTCTGATGGCCATGCTGATTTCTTCGACTGCTGGTGAACCAACAGTGATTGGGAGGTCCGTGTGTGCTGCTTCGATGATGGGTGCGTTCAGTGGGGCTGGTCGATTCAAAAGTTCTTTGAAGTGTTCTACACACCTGTTTCGTTGTTCTTCAATGTTGGTGATTACCTTGCCTTCCTTGCTTTTCACTGTTTGCTCCGGTTTACGGTGATTTCCATAGAGTTTCTTTGTTATGTCATACAGTTCTCTCATGTTTCCTTCTCTTGCAGGCTTTTCCGCCGTCGTTGCTAGATCTTCCACATATTTACGTTTGTCAGTTCTAATGCTCCTCTTCACTTGCTTGTTTACTTCTGTGTATTCAGCTTGTGCCTTGGCTTTCTCTGTTCTTGTTCGGCTGGTATTGATTGCTGCCTTCTTGTTCCTCCTTTCTTGAATCATATCCAGTGTATCAACAGTGATCCATTCCTTGTGATGGTGCTTCTTGTGGCCCAGAACCTCATGACATGTTGAAGTGATTGCCTGCTTTACCCCATCAAGTTGCTCTCCATAGTAGTTCCCTCTCCATTGAGTAGATCGTGAAAGGCCTGGAACCTATTGCTGAGGGCTATCTTGAATTCGTTGAGTTTGTTACTATTTCGAAGAAAGTCCGTATTAAACTTTTGTGATGTCGTCCACCCTGTTTTCCAGTGCTTCTTGAGTTTCAATTTCATCTTGGCGACCAGCAATTGATGATCTGATGCTATATCAGCTTACCTCTTGGTTCACGCGTCTTCCATCGTCCTTCCGAACTTTTTGTTGATGTAATATGGTCGATTTTGTTCTGTGTAGTGTGACCCGGTGCAGTCCATGTGGCTTTGTGTATGCGTTTATGTGGGAATATAGTGCCGCCTATGACCAATTTATTAAAGGCACATAAGTTTGCAAATCTCTCAAGATTTTCGTTTCGTTCTCCTAGTCCATGTCGTCCCATGTCTTTGTATCCGGTGTTGTCCATTCTAACCTTGACATTTAGGTCTTTTATCAGAATGGTTAGGTCCTTTGTTGCGCACTTTTCGACGATTGACTGGTCTATCGTAGAATTGATGTGTAACGTCTTCATTGTATTCGTTGGTAGGCGCATAGCACTGGATGACATTCATTGTAATGCCCTCTTTCTTTGTTTTGAAGGAGGCTTTGGTGATCCTTGGTCCATGAGATTCCCATCCTATAAGTGCATTTTGTGCTTGTTCGGATAGCATCAATGCAACTCCTTGTGTATAACTCTTCTAAATGGGAGACCTAACTCCCAGGGTTGAGTTTTAATGGTTTTAATAGTTTTTTGTAGTTAGCGTTTTCTAGCGAGTTTGTTTTCTACGGGACGGGGTCGCTAACCTCATGCCAAACCCCCCTTCTTTATCTGGGCTTGGGACCGGCAGTAGCCTAAGAGGGGCTCCAGGCGGAGTTAAATTCTAGTCTAAAGTTCATTATTTTACTGTGGCTCTGGTATAGGAAATTTAAGTTTCCGAGCATTGACCTTGATCAATATATACGCAGACACTTCCTGAGCTAACAACGATGTTTGACTCATAGTGATAAATTTTTCTTTGTATCATTATGCGACCTCATGGGGGTCTAGTTAATCGAGTCATTCTTATAGTACTCTCATCTTCATTGATCTAGTCTGTTATAGTACATTATGTTTATTGTGTATCTTATTATTTCTTAGTCCAAATGTAAATGAAATTTTTAAAATTGTTGTCTGTACTAAATACTTCATTCTTTTATCTTTTGATAATGATGGTGTAATCCACATGTAAAAAGTAAAACACTTGAAATCTGTACAAGTTTCATGCTGTTTAGATTGTATTCTTTATATTCCAAGTCGTAATCATTTGTACAACATTAGTGTTTTCTCTTTTTGGTTTCAAATAGTAGCTCTCCTCAAATAAAATAATTAAGATCCAGCTGGGCATCTTTAACATCTGCTATGGCGCCTTAGTGCTCCTATACAGAGTTAGAGTGTCAACAAACAAACTATTCATGCTTTTTGTACAGAATATCGATTTTGTTCTCAATTTTCATCAGTAGCAAAATTACAGTACTTTTGAGGCCTTCGTCTCCACTGTCTTATCTGGTTGACTGACCAAGTCACAAATGCTGATGATGAAAGTATTAGTACATTGGGGATCGTTACGTTTCCGTGAAATGGTTTTGGACCACAATTATTTTGTAACTCAGTTAAGTATGGATGAAAGAAAATCACTTAAATTAGTATCACAAAATATATCTTAGTAATATTTTCTAGTGTTAATCACTATCTCTCCTGGATTGCTAATTTTTATTGCTAATCTTTTTTCGTTTTTATTACAGATTTGGGCATGTGGTTTTATGCCATCGCAAGTGTTAAGACTTGATAAAAATCAACAGAATTATGCTCTGCAACATAATGGTATACCTTTGCTGTTGGATTATGCTATGCAAGAAAAAGTGAATATGAATAATTGTACATCGGATTCGCGTATAATTATCTGTTCAACTCATTGGCTCGTTATTGTTCCATGGTGGGCATGTTGGCCTTTTGAAACAATGATTTTACCTCATAAACGTCATATTCTCTGGTTGCACGAATTAACTGAAGATGAGAAATATGACCTCGCCTCCGTAATGCAGAATTTACTTGTTCGTTATGATAATCTATTTAGCACACAATTCCCATATTCTATGGGTTGGTATCAGGCACCTATGTGCTCCTCCAAAGAGGAGTCCTTGGGAGATCTAAAAAGTAAATATAAACATTGGCAGTTACATGCTTTGTATTTACCTCCCCTGTTAAGATCATCTACAGTAAAAAAATTCATGTCTGGCTTCGAGTTATTAGCGGAAACCCAGCGAGATTTACTACCAGAAACAGCTGCAAATATGCTTCGTGAAACTAGTACAATCCACTATACTAAACGGGTATTATAAACATGTTTCCGAGTCAGTATATCACTGTCATGATTAAAGGGCTTTCATTTCGTTTTGCAATTTTTTAATGTTTATAATGACTGTACTTTTAATATTTTGAACAGAAATATCTCGAGATGTTCTTAAAGAGTATTTGCTATTTTGTTAATATTTTCTTGATGCCTTATTAACTTTAAATATAATCTGTTTTGAACCACAAGCTATTATGTTTCTTTCGAATTTCGTATATTAGTTTGACGAAATAATTAATGGGCATCTCATGATGCACAAGTTTTCTACTTCAGTCCAATAATTTCAATCGTTTTTCGAAGGTTTATTTGAATCCGCTCCCCTCATTATCCAATTATGTCAAGAAATTCCGAATAATACGATTTCTTATTTGTTATGTTTTACAAACATAGTCATGCATAATTTTCGAACTTTCGATTGTAGCTCAATTATTTCTAAGAAAGCTTTTTTGTTTGACTAACGTTTTTAATCTTTAGAACCAATTCCAATTAATTTAGACTGAACAGACAAGGACTACTAATCATCGTAATATGAGTGTGACTCAGTTTGTTGTATACGAATGTATGGGGGTGTTTTGTTATATTTTATAGTTGGCCAGTCAGTATTATTATCTGAGATGTTAAAATAGGCACATATTGATAAATAAACGTTTCTTAAAACCCTTCGGATGACGTTTGAGATAAGTTGTTACTGTTACTTTCCCAGTGAAAATAATTTCGAATAATTCCTTGATAATATTGTTGTTAGATGCACCTGATGCAGCCTCTTTTATGATTAACTTATAGTAAGATTCTAGTTTCTCATACTCAATAATTGGTTAGTAATACCCTCTTTCAATTTTTCATACTTAATATTCATTTATTATCACTCCCAAGCTTTTATTTATGTCCTTCAGTATAAGAAATTCGGGCTTTCAGTATTTCAAAAAATAGTATAACTTTATGGAGAGGTTGGTGGCTATCAGTTCGTCGAGCTTTGATTATTCTCACCGCTTAAAACTGTAATAACTTGGCCTAGAAGTACCACAGATATATTTCTCGAAGTTTTTGGTCTTCAAGGTTGATAATCACCATGTAGCTCAACGCCAACCATTTTAGTTCTGTTCGATGAATGTCACAAAGAAACCTGAAGCAGAATGAAATGGGTGTCCGATAAGGTATACTGACTCCATATACGACGATTAGAGAGTGACGATATAATTTGTTAATAGGTCTTTTCACGTAGGAATTTTCCATAAAGTAAATCATAGTATTGCATTTGACAATATAATCTCTGTACATTAAAAAAACTGTACAAATTAACTTAGTGATAAACTGATGAATGAAAAAACCACTAACACAATGAGTAAATACTAGGAAATATTGGAAATGGACGAAATCAACTTTGTGATCAACTATCAGTATCAATACCAATCGTTTGACTTGATAGTATAAAAAAACAACCGATATTCATGAATTACTTATAACTATAAGGTTATAGGATATTTTTAACATACCATTGAGTGACAAATTAAAATTATGCTGTTTCGCGACTTAGTGAGAGTTGCTTTTCCATTGAATTAATAAGCGAATAAAATTAATATAAATTTAGATAGTAAAAAGAAACAAATCAAAGTTTAACCGAAATAAATCTGACTATACTAATTGTTATGTCCTAGCAAAGATTAAATTCTGAGTGGCTTCTGGGAACTATTTATGGATAACTACTAAGTAACTATATTATATGCATATTCATGTTCCTTTTATCATAAACTTACATTTGACCCATTGACTACTATTTGATTTACTATTCTTAAGTTATTTCCAATATATTAGTTACAGTATCTCACACTCACAACCACTTTGGGTCTGATCTTGTGTAATTGTTATTTCCTGTTTTATGGTTTAATGCGGTCTGATTTGCTTGTAAATAAACTGCGTATGTCTGAAATACATGATTCATATAGTAGAAACGTTGTTCTGAACTCAAACAGGCACGGCTAGGCGGAAGGACCAATGAGGACTCAGAGTTGGCTGTTCGCACTAGTTTATCCGTCATTGGTTCTAATTGGGCAATCTAATCACGTGATATAACTAACAGTTTATAGAACACAATACTAATATCATGTCATTCAAGTCAAATGTGATGCAATGTGTGAGTGTCTTTATATGTAATAATGCGTACGTAAGTTGATGCATAAAAATGATATTGATAATGTAAATGAGTTAATTTTTATTTATGTTCATAGTGCGATATTTGAATAGGTCAAATGTTATTGTTCGGAACTTCCTCAGACTGCTAAATACATTTCCAGTTCACTTCATATTCACTATCGAAAATGGAGATGTCGAAGACGAGCTACCATCTTTTGACTTTTGTTAAAAGTAATTTTAGGATATCTCTAAATCTGACCGTCTAATTTAAACGGACACAGCTCCTATGATTCTCTCGACAGTTTAGTCCGAACTTCAGGGAAATGATCACAATTACCGAATATTAGTAGGGTCCAGAAAATAGCTGTTCACTAATTATCCAGTCATGTTAAAATATTGACACATGGGACTTCTACCAAGTATTTATGTGAGCCGTTTGATGTGAAACGTATTGAAATAGTGTAAAGGGTGTTTAAAGATCTGACGTGAAAAGGTTACTGATTGTCTTTAAAAGATAAAATTGGTCACAAATCAAGCTTTACAGAACACTCGTTTAATGAGAATAAAAAAAGCGTATTCGTGCTAAACTGATTGTTCATGAGATACCCAAATAAAATAACTGATTAAAATATGTTTGTACGCTGTTGTTCTTCACAAAACAGATTAAAAAAGGCAGTGTATTTCATTTATATTTTCTAATTATTAGTCACCGTGATCCAGTTAATTGTTCTCCATATCATTATTTGGAGTATCTAGGTTTGCCCATATGCCTAGATTTTCGGCTGTCAATCTTTATTAGAAATAAAACCTTTCTAAACAATCTGTGTCCCGTGAAATTCGATTACGTATCCTCTTTCTACAAGATATAGTGCGATCGTAGATTTTTTCTAGATATAGTAATATGGTTCAAATATAGTTTGTGTTCCTTCACTTTCGTGATGTCTCATCTGCATTTACAGAACTACAGTTAGTCCATTTGAACTCATGGGCACGAAACTTGTTCTTTACTTGATATTGTATTTTTGACTTTTGCTAAAATAAAACTGCTGTTCATTGAAAAATTTGGTTTCATATTTTGTTGGTTTATGATATATGATCCTTCTGATTCCAACCGAAGTTCTTTTTGGGGTATGTGCTAGCCAATAGCTAATCAATTTTTTTAGTCGGTCTTTCATTTTTTCTTGGCCTTCTTGATTATTCTCTTTATAAAGCTTTTTATATAACGATACATTATGAATACTGAATTCGTCAGGGAGCACCAGTTCCATCAAGATTACAGGTAAACCTTGCTGACGAGCGCCAAGTAGCACGAAACCTGGGTCCAGGGTTTCCTGTCGACTACCTCCAACCACCATCTAATACATTATAAATATAGGCCTAACCAAATTTAACCCTTTTCCTTTGTCTTCCGGTTCTACGACAGTTGAAGACGTTAGATCCTCAGAATTCACTTGGAGAAGGTCCTAATTTCATAATTTTATTTTGAAAATTTGGATTTTATGTTTTCGCGCCAAGAGACGCTTAGTTTGACCTACAGCTTACATTTCCCACTCGGAAATTTTTGACTGTCATTGGTTGACGGATTTTTTTAGTACGCTATTTTGTGGCTCTGCCAAGGGCGTTCCTATCATTGTATAAATAAGCTTGATTTGTGACCTCGTATTTTCTGGGTGTTTGTAGAATACATTCTTTACGCCTCATCAAGACTTTTTGGTCTAGTTAGCAGGACCGGGGACAACGGATTAGAACAGCCTATCGTGTCACTGTATCTTGACCTTCGTTCCGTTTACCGAGTAAGGTGAACTCGTAATACCATCCAAGCATATCAACAACGACCCGATGAACTTTGTTTATCAGATTTTTAGTGACTGTCACCTTTGCTGTTAGTGGATTGCGGTGATTAATTAACAGTTATTGTACAATCAAATATTTTATTTTGCGTTTTAATTTTATAAAAATACAATTTCATTCTGTCTACTTCGGACTCCTTCTTGATTTCTTATTGTCGAAGTTCTAGCCTACTTGAGATCAATAGTAATTCGTTAGGCTGTTTCAAATTCACAGAGACGTACTGTCGTTGAGACGATACACAACATATAAGACTCGGGAATTAGAGCCATTAAATAATCCAATCAGTGGGCGTTTTATTTTGCATCGTGAAATTACTGCACATGCCAAAAAGTCAAGATTCACTACCACATGAGTTCTTCACTATCATTTTTATAGCCCTAATGCCATTTCTAATAACATTCTTATCTATCTGTGTTATGGATGCTGAGGGAAAATATACCAATAATTATCGTGTTAAGTCTATGGTGGCCTTGGACCTTAAATGTACATTTCCTATTGATCGATGTTTATTTCACTTGTTAAATATTTTGTAAATGTTGTTTTCTTTTTTATGGTACGATGTGGTTTGTTTGTTTGGTATATAAATAGAGTATGTCTGAAATATAATGACTCATAACTCAGAGGCTAAGTCTTGTGTTCTTGACTCAGCTGGCTAGGACAGACAGCGAAGCAGGGCCAATCAGGGCACTAGGTCGTCCGTACGTGTTTACGTGTCACTGTCACTGACTCGATTGATATAAATACGCTGCTTACCAAAACCTGCAGTCTCACACGTTACAACAATCTGTCAATTGTCTGTAACTTAATTCTTGCCTATGTTGACTGGTTTTGCCAAACGACAATTAAGAAGAAATAGCAGCTGCGATGTCAATCGAAATTTGTATTTTTCATTCTGGTATCCCGGAAGTTATCATCAGTGATAGATGATTAGTGTTTGAAAGTTGCTTCATTCAACAGCCTGATGAACTACTTGGAATCAAACAAATTATTGATAAATTTATTCTACAA